TAAGTGCTTGTGCGCAGGAATACAGTAGTTCAGCAGTTGAAAAAAGTAGTGCCAAAGGAAAGAGCTGTTTTGGCGGGAAGATAAAGATGAAAATATTCTACATGAAGCTTCATTTAAACAGATGTTGGATTGTTTCAGTGTTTTGTGCTGGCCCCACCCACAGCAGCTCATCACTCTGCTCCTCTAAACTGACTCTACTGCAGGTGAGACACTGACTGTAATGACGACCTGTGCTCACCTGAACTGGCCCTTTAACGTCACATTTGTGCAGCTCTACGTCAGTGACCAGTGACGCTGAGAGACCGTGCCAGGTGAGCTTTAGAGGCGGAGCCAACTGACATTAAGATACAGGACACACCTGAAGGCTCCATGTGTCTCTATAACTCTCCATATGTTCAGAAACATGTGAACACACAAACAGACTGATCTGAAATCTGCAAGTTTCCATTCACCTGGAAATCACAGGAACAGACCATACCTGAGGAACGACTCTACACCTGTACACCTGCAGCACACACACACACACTCACACTCACACACACACACACACACACACACACACACACACACACACACACACACACACACACACACACACACACACACACACACACACACACACACACACACACAGTGGGAGTTTCTGTGCCAGATTTGTTCACAGGGTTTTGGGGATACAGATGGCATTTAAGGACAACTGGTAGTCCCGCCCACTCACACACACACACACACACACGCGCACACGCACACGCACACGCACACACACACCAGTAGCAGCTCTCTCTGGTGTCATCTGAGGACAGACCCCTCCCTTCACTGTGTTATAGACCAAACACACACACACACACACACATGTGGCCCAGTCTCTGCAGTGCCCGTCTCCTCATGTGAACCCATTCTCCTCTGCTGCATTTCTCTCTCTCTTTCTCTCTCTCACACTCTCACACACACACACACACACACACACACACAACACACACCACACACACACAACACACACACACACACACACACACACACACACACACACACACACACACACACACACACACACAGAGTAAAGCCCCTCTGAATCTAACTCAATCTCCCACGGCTGGGGCATTAGTCACCAGGTAGAAATGGCGTGCACGTGATCTCTCTCTCTCTCTCTCTCTCTCTCTCTCACACACACACACACCAGCCAACCTTTATCAACCCCAGGTCTATAATCCAATAACATCACAATGACAGAAGTGTAGGAGAGAGGGATTGTGAAGGATGAGAAAAGAGGAGGAGACAAAGAGGAGGCAGGAGGAGGAGAGAGAAGAGAAAACAAGATTATCAGAGAGAGAGAGGAGGATGAGAACGAGAGAGAGACAGAATCGGAGGATTTTAAGTTAGTTTAAATCCAAATTCAACCAAATGGTTTGTTTTTGGAGAACAGCGATGACAAGCTTTGGGGGCGGAGCCTACCAGGTGGCAGGAAGTGACAGTCGGCGGTGTCAGTTTACGACATTAAACTATGGATCAAGCAGATGCCTTCTCCAGTTACTTTAATGCTTTTCCAGCTAAAGTTCCTCCTCCTGCCTCAGACTCATCACGCTGTAACACCAGTGATGTCACGTGGTCCTGAGGCTGAGCTCCGTCACAACACTGATGTCATATCAGTCTGTCCCATTCACTCATTAACTGTAGAAACACTGAGACAGGTTCCAGTTCGTTTACATGTTAATGTTGCCTGGTGTTTTTAACCACTGTGGGCTCACTGTACTACCATGGCTACATTATAACATAGCATAGCATAGCATAGCATAGCATAGCATAGCATTACACATTTAGAGTGCCATAAATCACAAAAAATAAATAAAACTTTGATAATTTTCTTTGTTAATTTATGAGAATTTCTTTTTAATCTAGGGTATAGATACAACCTTGTTTCAAGTGAACTCAAGTGTTAGGACTCTATGATACACACTGAACTATTGACATGTTTACAACTGTTAAAACCAGGCCACTTTAACTATTTACATATCACTCAAAGCAACTATATACAACACTTCTACTACAGGCATGCAGAGGAACCATGGTCATGTCAGTCTGCATCACTTCCTGACTAATATCAGGTACAGTTTCTGCACTTATATATATATATATATATATATACACACACACACACAGGAGTTAAACTCTTCCAGTAACTTCCTAACATCTTTCTTTTCTTCGGTCTGTGTCTTTTCTCTGTCATGATAAATAACTGTGTTTTACAACTCAAACCTTTTATACTTCGTGTGTCTGTCCTCCCCATTTAATCCACGTTCTGCTTGTTGTAAACAAACCCTGGTGAACTCCATGCGTTAGTGAGACGTGAATACGTCAGTCAGCTGACATCGACGTCATCGTGTCTGCGCGGGGAAGCGTAGATTTATCTTTTTTTTTTAAATGATTTAGCTCAAACAAAATGTTTATTTGGGGGAATTTTTAAAATAAATGTAGACTGGAGAGATTTGGAGGAAAGATTGAAAATTTGAAGCTTGAATTCTATGACATTTTCTGACGGACGTGTATGTCACACATGGTTAGTTCACGGACCGACAGAAAGTTGAAAATCTGACGATTGTGTCAGTCTTTACAGATTGTGGATATGATCAATGGTTTGTTTTTGGCAATTCTCAGAAAAAGGGTGGTTTTCGATCCCGTGCACGGGACTTGGTGTTAAAGACCTTCTGATGAAAATCCAGTGTTTAACCTTGTTAACGTCCATATGATGTTTTTATATAATATGATGATGAAATAATCATCAACACCATGACTGAGTGTTTCCACCTTGAACTGCAGTGAACCAATGACAGTCTCATAAAAACAGTTTCAGGGTTTCATACGTCACAAATCTGAGGAACCAATCGTGTCAACTTCTGGGGACGGGGGGCGGGGCTAAATACACCTGAAACCTTGTCAGTACAGAGAGAGAGAGCTAGCATTAGAAAAATATGAAAGAAAATGAATGTGTTCACAACTGCAGAGGTCCAAATGAAACCTGAGTGAAGTCCTGTCTTCCTCTGTGTGAACATGAATCGACTGGTTGATGGAGATGAACAGCTGGTGGAGCTGATTCTCATTAAACCACAGAAGAAGAAGAAGAAGAAGAAGAAGAAGAAATTAAAGGATCCAGTCAAAGCAAAGATGTTTCTGATCACTCAGCTGATGTTTCCCTCTCTTCATGCTTCATCTTCTTCTGAGTTTATTCAGTGAATTTGAATTTTTTTTATATTTCCATCTTTTTAATTGATCACTCAGTTTTTTCAATAATTTACAGCAGCTGGATGAAAACACAGAAAACACAGAGGCGTGGAGGGAAAGAGACAGAACAAGATACTTCATCACACACACAGTCTGACACACTGTTCTACATCCAGTCTGTGTGTGTGTGTGTGTGTGTGTGTGTGTGTGTGTGTGTGTGTGTCTGTATGTGTATGTGGAGAGAGAAGAGTAAGTGGGATGACTGCCAGCATATGTGTGAACACACGTGACTCTGTGTGTGTGTGTGTGTGTGTAGCTTGTTATAAAAGACAGTGCAGAGCAGTGTGTATATAAAACAGGAGAGCAGAGAGTGTGTGTGGATTGATGATGAGGAGGCTGAACCTTCCTCACATTAACAGTAAACAAACAGAAACATCACATCTCCATCATGACCTCATCTTCTTCTTCTTCTGTGGTATAATGGCAGCACTTACACAGAGGAGACTAGAGTTTGTGTTTGTTGAGATGGACGAGTGAAAAACGCAGCTGAAACGTTTTGTATAGGACATGTCTGAAGTCCGGCCCACGGGCCACGATTGGCCCACAGCTTGTCTCTAAAAATATACTATCTAAACTGAAGCTGCAGAATGATTGACACCTCCTCGTTCAATCATGATAACCTTTTTAAAAGGACGGCAGGTGACTTCAAACTCTTGATTGACACAATGAGAACACACATCTCACCTGGGTTTCAATATTTTATAAAGATTAAATGATGAATCACAGAAGTTTTTCATCCTTAATGAGGCAAATTATTCAAACTGTTCAAATGATGGTTTTTTTTTTAGCAGACTCCCAGGAGTTCACAGGAAATAACACTTTCATTTGTCCATGTAAAGACAGTCCTGACTCCATGATGTTTATGTATATGTTAGCACTTATCAGCAGGTATCAGTGTCTGCATTCACCTGGCATGTTAGCTTAGCCTGTACCTATCCAGTTAGCTAGCAAATGAATTAGCCTTCGGTTAGCCTTTGAGCAAGACACAGAGACTCTCAGCGTTGATAACGATGCTAACAGGAGCATATGCTTACCACAGTTATTATAGCTCCACCTCTTTGCCCATATTTGGATTAGTCAGGAGTCAGGGGGCGGAGTCAGACACTACCAAGATGGCGACTTTGGAGCAGCTCACGCTGAGCTTCAGAAACCTGCAGGTGACATCCCAGAGGCGACGGCCATCTTTATTTAGTCCATGATGAAAACTGAAAATAAAAAAATTTAAAAGAACAAAAAGTGAAAAAGTAAAGCGGGACTCAAACCCCAGAGTTTGACCAGTTCATCCACCATGACGGACGCTCTGATGTGGACTTGGTTGGTCTCTGGCCTTCGAGGTTAACTCCTCCCACACATTCACAGGTCTGTTGTTGTTGAACTGACAGACAGAAATTATTCTTGCTGCATCAGGCGGGAAAATAAACCAGACGACACAGAGAACACTGATAAACAAAACCAATCAAATGCTGCTCCCACTTTATCGGTTAGTCCACGCCTGGAGAATAGCATTACAACCACACTGCAGAATGTCATTAAACAGAGGACACGGAAATGTGTTTTCAGTGTAATCAAATTTCCAGATAATTCATATTTCCTGTTTGTTAACCCACAGCTGCTGTTTACCTGAGACAGGTGTTTTAATCTCATTTCCTCCTGCAGGAAAACTCATTGTTCTTATCTGAAGTGAAACAGGATTTATTCTGTTCAGTGACTGACAGGAAACGCTGCTCATGTCATCATTTCGTTTATTACAAATTATACATTAAAATACCATTTAGATTAAAGGTGTTTTTGTGAGGAAGCCAGTTTGTGTGACAGATGTTTAGTGTCACATGATCGGACCTTGTCGGCGTAGAGACCGGTTTGTTCCAGATCCTGAAGCTTGGCTCAGGACAATAAAAACATTGTGTGAATGGAACTTTATAAACAACAGTAATTGTAACAGTAACTGCATTAAGAACTAACTCACTTAAGCTTTGTTTTCCCCAACTGGGCTGAATACTGACCCTGGATCAGCTGTAGTTTTTGGCTGGAACAGGGCCAGACCTACAATCTGGAATGTCACTAACTGACTGACTGACTGACTGACTGATCATATTTCCTCCACTGGTCAGATGAGTGCTGAGCCGCTGTCTACCAGTGTTTCTGTTTGTTTTGTGTAATCAACATTTTGTTTTGTGGTAAAGACTTGCCTCTGATAAAAGTCTGTGATGTTCTGGAGCTGAAGGAAATAAAAACTAAACTACAGTGGATCCAGACGGAGGCTGAGCTCTGCGTCAGAGACTCAAGAAGAAAGACAGTCCGTCTCTTGTGACTTCCTCTCTGATCTGAACAGCTCAGTCTCTGTCTATAATTCATGTGTTTGGTGATTTAATCAGGCGACATCACAGTTTTAAAATCAGGATTTGACCAGAGGTCCAGACATAGACCTGGTTCAGACCTGTTGAATAGTTAAAACTGGTGAGCAGCTAAACACTGACGTGGGATCAGTTTATTTATATGTAACGTTCCTTTTGTCTAAATTTGATCAACTTTAATCTGTGGTTGATTTTCATTCTGCTTTTAATTCAAATATATAAATGAAAATATTCATGTTTTACATTTGTTTGTTGCCTTTGATTCCTGCTGTAATTATCCGTTAGTGCTAATTCATACAAGCTACATTATTTTCATTGATTGGCAGCGTTAATTAATTTGAACTAAACTTCAGATCATCTTTCTAAAACTGTTTTTGACTGAAACGTATTTCATTCAGAATTTATCTTCAGTAATTCACTTTCTGAAAACGTCCGATTTCCATCGACAGATCTGATTGGTGGCTGCGGATCAGGTGCGGCTCTCCTGCAGGACTCTGTCCTCCAATCGGGCGTATCGCTTCAACATCTGGTCGTACACCTGGAAGACACACACAGGTAGAAATCATCGCCGTCCTGCCTCTTTCCTTTGTGGCGGTGGATGTCGTTAACGTAACAGCACAAAACCCCAATTACAATAAAGTGAAACTAGAACCACCTCCTCGTGATCATATCCCTCCGCCACTCAGACTAGTTCCAGGTCACTTCCTGTTTATCCAGAGTCAGAGAAAATATGAACCGTGTGTGAAGTCTTGAGTAACGGCTAAAAAGGGTTTTTGTGAGGTTACACTGACCTTTGACCACCAAAGTCTAATCAGTTCATCCTTGAGTCCTAATGAATGTTCCGTCAAGGTGTTACGGAGACATCGTGTCCACGAGAATGAGACGGCCGGACGACCTGAAAACAAAATGGCCGCCGCTCTGACAGTCGCCGGGCGGAGGACTGAAAATATGATCAAATCTCTGATGACAAACATTCACACAAATGTTTAATCTTTGACATGACTCTGGATCAACAGGATGTAGTCGAGGCGTGATTCTAGCGTTGTGTGTAACTCGATCTACAGCTGACAGATGTTTCCCTCCGGAGCACACACATGACGATATCTGACCAATGACACGTGGATCCAATAAAACAGTTCCAACTGAAGATGTGACGGTGTGGAGCTGCAGTGTGATGTGGTCTCGTGTGTTTGTCTCTGTATTCGTCCACGTGCTGCTTTCACTGTCTGTACGAAAAGGCAAAGCCAGTAACAAATGAAACACCTCATCAATATTAATGTGACGCATGTGAATTAAACAGACACCAGGTGAAAAGTGTAACTGTGACTGAAAAATGTTTCTGTAAAAAATAAAGTCGACACATACAAAACCTACAGAGGAGAGTTTATGTGTCGCCCCACTGACCACTTCACCCACTTCACCCACTTCACCCACTTCACCCACTTCACCCACTTCACCCACTTCACGTCATGTTGTGTTGCTGTTTCATATTTAATAGCCTGCTGTACAGTAAAGTATAGAGAGAATATTCAATCACCAACATCTAATCAGTGCTGCACCTTCAGAGTCTGTGTGTGTGTGTGTGTGTGTGTGTGTGTGTGTGTGTGTGTGTCTGTGTGTGTGTAGACTAGGTGTTTTAGCGGAGCTCATTATTTATTTATGAGCTGTGCTGTTTAATTATGGAGGATGAACATGAGAGAACATCACTTCAGTAAACATACAACTACATTAGAATAACATGGAACCCTGGAGAGTGTGTGTGTGTGTGTGTGTGTGTGTGTGTGTGTGTGTGTGTGCGCGTGTGCGTGCGTGTGTGTGTGAGAGAGAGTGTAAAATTAAAATGCGATGAGGGTAAAAGCATTGCTTCGGTAAATATAGAACAGTGTCTTTCTGTGTGTGTGTGTGTGTGTGTGTCTGTGTGTGTGTGTGTGTGTGTGTGTGTGTGTGTGTGTGTGTGTGTGTGTGTGTGTGTGTGTGTGATTATGATAATAGAGACCAGAGTGAACTGGACCTTGACAGATGCTCAACAGTGTGTGTACCGGTGCAGTAAACACACACACACACACACACACACACACACACACACACACAGTGTGTTGGTCGGGTTGGTTTATTGTGCAGATGATGCTGACTAAGAGCTGCCAACGCTGGCCCAAAGCTGGCCCAAGGCTGGCCTGAGTGGGGCTACTGGGCCTAAAGCATTTTCAGGTCCATGTCACTGAAACTGACCTAACTCTGGCAGCCGGATCTGGGCCGGATCTGGCTTTCTGTTAAATCTGTTAAAAAGTAGCAGCACTAGAAGAGTTAAACTTCAAAATAAAAGTCTCACCAGGCTTTCATTTGTTGCTGCCTCTGCAGCTCAGGTGTTTGTGTTGATGTTTGTTTTGTTTCATTAACATAATGTTGTTGTTGTTGTTGTTGTTGTTTGTCTCTCTGGTGTGTCGTGGTGGTGGCTCGAGCTGTCACACTCTTTAAAATAATTAAAGTGAACATGTTGAGGCGAGCGCTGTGCTCGACCTGAGGTGACCCCACCCCCCTCCTGGGAAGCAGAGAAGTGATTGACAGAAATAAAAAAAGACAGAGAGGCCCCACCACTGCTCCTCCGACCTGCGCCTCCTTCATCATCCCATCTCTCCTCCTTCCCTTCATCTTCTCTCCTCTTTCTTCATCACCTCGCTGCTCTCTGAGTTTTCAGAGGACGATGTTTGTTCCTGTTTGTCGCTGTAAATCATCCTTCACGCTCTCCACCCTGCACCCGGCACGTATCTTTGAAGCTGCGTCTCCCAGAGTCAGAAAGAGACACAGATTTGAAAACGTAACATTATGACGAAGAAAAGTCCAAATGAAACGAGACTCAGAAACAAACTTGAGCTGAATTTAAAACAGCTTCCTGAAACTGACTGGGGAGGGGGAGGAGGAGGGGGAGGAGGAGCAGGAGTGACACATCTACCTGTTTAAATATCCACTACCTGCTGCTGTCAGTCGCACTGAGGTGTTTGAAGCGACTGGTTCTCACGGCTACTGATTGTTCTTCAGGATGAACAGAAATGTTTTACTAAAGTTTCTGTCTCAACATGCAGCTGCTAACAGGAGCCTCACTTCTGATTGGCTGACTGTTTTTTGACTGATCCAATCAAAATAAAGCAGATTTCAGGTAAAAACACTCAGAGAAACTAAATCCTGCACGGGTTGGATGGTGGCTCCAGGTGGGCGGGGCTTAGTGACTGCTTCCTGACGGCTGGTTTTAAGGCTCAGTGTGATGTCACTGTTCAACCACCTCCACCGGTCAGAGAGATCAGCTGACTGACAGCTGCTCTGACTCTGTGGTTGCATGGCAACCGTGAGGGGATGCAGGCCCACAGACCAGATCCTGGACCTGAACCAGGGACGGACTAACGAGCAGGAGTTAAAGAGAAGCAGAATTAACGCCACTAGTGTCTCATTAACACGTTTATTGGGGCTAAAACACATGAAGATCATCTCCACCCACACAAACTCCACCAATGATGAGCCCAGCTGAACACCACAACGTGTGTGTAAGTGTGTGTGTGTGTGTGTGTGTGTGTACCTCCTGTGCTGTAGGATGCGGCGTGGCGACCAGCTGTGGTTCAGGTGCTTTCTTCACCACGTCAAAGAAGGAAACTCCAGATTCTGCGACCAGGCCTGAAAACACACAGGTGTGTTAACCAATCAAACGGCCAGACTCATTAACCAATAGGAGGGTTTGTATCGCGCAAAAGAAGAAGAAAAGAATCTGTTGACCAATTACAGTCTAGAGGTTGTTAACCAATCAGGAATTAGCATTAGAAACACAAATTCTCTCTCTCTCTCTCTCACACACAGAAGGTCAGGACGATGCTGAGAAAGCTTATGAGCTCACACACACACACACACACACACACAGACACACACACAGACACACACACAGACACACACACACACACACCTGTGTGTGTGTGTGACACACTGAGACACACACACACACACAGACACACAGACACACAGACACACACACACACACACACACAGACACACACACAGACACACACACAGACACACACACAGACACACACACAGACACACACACAGACACACACACAGACACACACACACACACATCAGAGGTGTAAATGTGTGGCTCAGCGTCAGCACCACAACATGAATATGGATGTGTTTACAGTTCTACAAGGCCGTGTGTGTGTGTGTGTGTGTGTGTGTGTGTGTGTGTGTGTGTGTGTGTGTGTGTGTGTGTGTGTGTGTGTGTGTGTCTGTGTGTGTGTGTGTGAGACAAACAGCGTCTTGTTGCTGACCCTCTTCTTGTTTGTGATGGAGCCGTCGACCTGAACTTTTCTCACTCTGGACTAAGAGACGACTCGTGTCCTCTCCCTGTCTCTCTCAGCACAGTCAGTCCAGCAGGAGGAGTCTGCAGTGTCTCCTCCTCCTCCTCCTCCTCCTCCTGTGACTCTCTGAACTCCCTCAGTATTCATTTTCTGTCCTGATTCATGGTGTATTTCCTCATGTGTTAAATTAGTGGACACACAGGGACGAGCGTCCAGACCAGGAAGCTTAGTGGACGGACAGGAAGGAGCAGCTTCACTTGGATCCTGTTTCACTGAAGCTGGTTCGTTCCAAGTGTTTCTACCTGTTGAGAATGTCAGAGAGGAACGGGCCACGAAGAGGTGACGACTGGAGCGCTACAATGTTTACTGTTGCTTGGCAACACCGTCAGCTGCTCCGGAGCCGACGTAATCATAATCATCCAGATTTTAATGTTTGATATTATCAGGCTGTTCAGCAGGTCAAAGACCGGATCACCTGGGCCCAACATCAGCTCAGACCCAGGACCAGGTCCAGGACCGGGACCAGGACCCGGAGCAGTACCAGGACTAGACCCAGGTCCGTGACCAGGTTCAGGTTTCAGTGGCGTTCCCCTGTGGTTGCGATCACATCAGTGAACCAGAGTTGAACAGAAGTCGAGTCTCCTCCCACCTCAGACTGAGTGAGGTCATGTGACCCGCAGAGCGCCTAGTTGAACCTGGTTTCTGTAACACTGAGGAAAGGGTTGCAGCAGTAACCCCCCCCCAGGCTGCCGCCGCCCCTGAATGATTCAGCATTGGTTATTACCACCAGGAGGATTGCATTATGTCTTTTCAGGCTCACGCAATTGACTTTAGATATTGAAGCAGTTGGAGCACAGCTCGCGTTAAACACCCGTCCCCCCCTCCCCCCCCCCC